TTGTGACTGGAGTTCTTCGGGCTCGTCCTGCCTGCTGTGTACGAATGACATTTTGTGAGGCATATCCTCGGCTCTGGAAGTAGCCTCGTCCTGGGAGGTGAAAAATTGGGTAAGTTAGCCCCCAAAGGGGAGGTAACTGCTCGGTGTCGGAATCGGCATTTCAAGTAGGTCATAGTTATGGACGACTGGACAAGCCAGCCTCTTTGGGTTTACCCAAAGTGAGAGTACCCAGTGACATTTCCCCATCCAGGTTATGGGGGGTGTTCAGCTCTGCAAGAGGTGGAAGTGCGCCACCAATCTATCATCTGCCTGTAGCTATGATCCTTTGGGCTCCGGCCCGCTTGTTGATGTGCGACCGGCATTCAGTGTGGCAAATCCTCGACTTTGGAAGTAGCCTTCCTGGAGGTGAAATCGGGCGAGTACCCGTTAGTTCACGGGGATACTCTAGGGGAACGTAACTTTCCGCAGTGTGAGGGCAACGGCTGGGCGCACTCCATCAGCCAATCCCTGTCTCTGAGACCGGAAGGTATGGTTATCTAGAGTGTGGGGGGTTCTCCCTGGAACCTCAATTGAGCAAAGGGTGTCGCCACCTTTGGTGGATAGGTTCATCCGGGTGGGACCCACTTCTATTCCTGCCTCCTTTTGGGAAACCCTGATGGCCTGGCAGTGATGTTGGGCTTGATGGGCAAACGAAGTAGATCGGGTGCTGGGTTCAAGCCCGCTGCGGGTGTTCAGGGATCTATCGCCTTGGTCACCTCTGGTTTCCCAGCAACTGGGTAAGGCCTCGATCGGGTAGTGGTGTAAATGGGTGGTTGGGGTTCCCCCCATCAGCTTGCTGGTGGTCCCCTTCTTCCTGGCTTTGATGGCGGGTTTTGCCTGTCAGGGATTGGATAGGTCCCGAGTGTTGCTTGCACTAAATGCGTCAGGGCATTTCACTATGGTCCTTCTGGGTTCCGTACCTGGGGGAACCCAGGTGAAGTGACGCTTAAACAAGTAGCCGGTATCCCTGGTTAGGATTGAGGGGCAACCCTCTTTCCGAAGGGTTGCTTCGGCAGCCGGTGAGCTTGATGACCTTAAGTCATCCTCCCATGGTGTACCAAAGGTCTGTGCGCATGCTTCGGCCTACATCATGGGGCCCGGGTATGTTTAATTATAGGTACCGGGTTAGCAGTCAGGGAGTTACTTGCTCTCATGACAAAACGAAATGGAATGGAATGGATGGACACTAAATAATCTTTTAAACACAAAACTAAGTCTTCTAACGTCAATAAATCCACTAAAACTGCTAGAAATGTGGGAGCTGTCGTACCAGTAGTCTTAATCACATGCATTCAGTGCTGCCAACCCTATTCATTGACTTATTCCAAAAGTGAACCAATTCTCCGTTGCTACAGTGATGCTGACTTTGCAAATGACAAGTCAAGAAAGTCACGCACAGGATATTTGTGTATGTTTGCTAATGCTAATGGCATTGCAAGTTGGTCTTCAGTGAAGCAACATTGCGTTACATTGTCAACCACAGATGCAGTTTGTTGCTGCGAGTGAGGCTTCTAAGCAAATAGTATGGTTGAAAACTATGTTGGGCGAGATATATGGTCAAGAAATCAAGGCTGTGTTTTTTAAACAACGCTGGAGCTGTTCGACTAGCTAGAAATGCTGGAGAGTTTCATAAGCGGTCAAAACACATTCATGTGAGATACCAGTATGTACATGAGCAATTCCTTGCAAGTACATTTGATGTACATCACGTGTCTGGGAATTACCAACTAGCCGATTTCCTGACGAAAGGCCTACCAGTGTCCAGATTGAAAACCCTGTTGGAGCGTGTTAGTTTGAGGGCATATTGAAAGAAACTAACTTGCTCAATGACTATTTAGAATCACATGGTTTATAATTAATTAAATCATGTGTATGATTGTTTTATCTTGAAAACATGTTTCCCCCAACAGCACAATGGGCTTGCTGGGAACTTGTTCTAAGTCCATTGGCCCAAGTCCCTAAGCCTGGTTTAAACTCAGGGACCCAAGTCTGTAGGCTTGGTTTTGACTTGTTTTAGATACCGAAGTTGGCAGTTGTTCAACTTGTTAGGGGTTTGGCTCCCCAAGTCTAACCCACGTCCCAACCACAAACCTACAGTTAACTGAGTTAACTCATGCACACAAACCCACTCAAAGCTTGGAATGATGAATACAACCTGGGTCTAGTAGATAAAAAAGGCTCATTGTGGACTTGTTTGGGACTTGGGGACCTAAGCCCAATTTCAGTAGGCCCACATTGGACTTGGCTTAGACTCATATTGGAATTGGTTTTAGCACATGTTGGACTTGGACAAACAAGCTCACACTGATGCTCATTATAGACTTGTTCGGGACTTGGAGACCCAAGCCCAATTTCAGTAGGCTCACATTGGACCTGGCTTAGACTCATATTGGAATTGGTTTTGGTAGCCTACATGTTAGACTTGGGTAAACAAGCTCACACTGACATACTCACTTTGAACTTGGTACACAATTGTTGTTTTGTTATAGCTCTCAATAAATACTTTAAAACTAGTGCACCTGTTGCTCGAATTCGAGCAATTGCAAAGTATTACAGGTGTTGTTTTAAAACGAATAACAGTCATGATTATTTCCGATGACTTAAAAGAGGAAACTCAAAGATAATGTAATCAATCACTCCATTCTAGTTATCGAAACTGAAAAAGAACGCTCTTGTGTGTATCATGTGTTTACTATGAACAGCTGTAAATAATACAAATTATTCGTCTGTTTAGTAAACAAAATAATTTTTTCATAAGAATTACATTGGGATTTTGATGGCCTGTGGGGCAAAGCCCGAGGCGAGGACTTATATTACAGGAATTGGTGAAAGGGGGTGTCTAGTCAAAAAATACTTAATGTTGACACATCGTTTGTAAAAATCCGTCCATTATTAACGGAGGAGTAGTGTTTCGTAGAAATCACCTTCACGTATTATATACAGGGTGTTTTTTTAAAAACTTGCATCTTTATTTATGTAAAAACCGCAATAGATAGAAATATGCAGTTTGCGGGAATCATCTATTGACGTAGGGGGCCCAATTGTTTTGAATTCAACGTTACATTCACATTCCCCCCCTTTCCCCCCCTGCCCCCAACTTATTTTTTTTAAATAGCAAGGTACCGCGTATGACATATCAAATGAAAGAGCATAAAAAAAGAAAATGTTTGATGAAAAAAAATTAAAAATCGGTTCATAAATTTGCGAGATATTTCCCCCCCCCCTTCCCCAGAATTTGATTTTTTTTTAATAGCAAAGTACCCCTTGTGACATATCAAATGAAAGAGCATGAAAAAATTGGTGAAATTTATTTTTCATTTGATATGTCACAAGGGCGGGTACCTTGCTATTAAAAAACAACTGATGGGTAGGGGGAAAAGGGGGGATTATCTCACAAATTCATGAGCCGATTTTAATGTTTTTTTCACCAAAAATTTTTCTTTTTTCATGCTCTTTCATTTGATATGTCACAAGGGGTACCTTGCTATTAAAAAAAAATAAGTTGGGGGCAGGGGGGAAAGGGGGGAATGTGAATGTAACGTTGAATTCAAAACAATTGGGCCCCCTACGTCAATAGATGATTCCCGCAAACTGCATATTTCTATCTATTGCGGTTTTTACATAAATAAAGATGCAAGTTTTTAAAAAAACACCCTGTATAAGGATATCAATATGTCATAACCCTAAACCTTTATAATGTTGTTTAGAATGTTGATACAGTAGAGTCCCGCAAACTCGGCGTAATGTGGACTGGAAGGGTGCCGAGTTTGTGAAATGCCGGGTTATCGGGAACTAGAATTAAAAATAAGAGCAACCGCCTTTTTCAATTAGATTTATATTACAAGTCAGTATTAAGTCATCAGATATAGTACAACTCCTTAGTACGAGTTGCAAATTATTATACTTGAGCTGGCTTGTGTCCATGTTTATTTTGGACTCAAAAAATCACTAATTTTTTAGCCAGGTGATGGCCGAGTTATCCAGACTGCCGGGTTATCCAGTGCCGAGTTTACGGGACCCTACTGTAATACTGATAATACTAACGAATTTGTCTTATTAGTGTTAAATAATTTAATTTAGGTGTTTAATTCGGATTTTTTGAACAATAATCACTGTGTGATTAGAGAAAATAATAATATTTAAGCTGTAATAATAATAATTTAATCTTACTAATATTATAAATGTGAAAGTTTAGATGTATGGATGTATGGATGGATGTATGTTTGTGACAAGTGAACGCAAAAAATACTGGTCGGATCGGGCTGAAATTCGGCATGATGATAGCTCATATTCCCGATTAACATATAGGCATATTTTTATCCCAAAAATCCTTCCGGGCTCCGCCCCAGTGGCTCTGGAGTTTCCCATGTTAAACTTATGAGAAATGGAATTAATGAATCTTAACAGCTGTTTCAATTAAACTAGTTGGTTCTGTTCTATGATGTTCAATAGCATTAAAGTTACAAGGATTACCAACAGGGTGCAGCACTATTATTTCTTTTACATTTATGACAACAGCTAATTTGCAACCAAAAGGTGAGTGAGCGTAGCGAACGAACTTCAACCTGGAGGCGAGTGAGCGTAGCGAACGAGCTAACCTGAAGGAAAGTGAGCGTAGCGAACGAGCTCCAACCTAAAGGTGAGTGAGCGTAGCGAACGAGCTCCAATCTAAAGGTGAGTGAGCGTAGCGAACGAACTTCAACCAGGACGTGATTGAGCCATGCAAACGAGATCATCTTGAAAATTAAGAAGTTAAACGGGACAAAGCCCGCGGGTTACAGCTAGTATAAATATATATTTAACGTAAAAGCAATTTCCCACCGTTCACTTTCCATTCATATTTCAGCCCTATTATTTTCCATAAAAATTATTAAGGTCATATTATAAATCTCAAGTGATAAAAAATCGGTTAAATTTATATATTAATAAAAAAGATCTGTTGGGTCCAGAAAACAAGGCATTCACGTTTCAAGATAATTTATTACTATGTATAGTAAATACAATTTCCATTATTTATTTTACTTCCTCTTCTTCAATTTCTTCTCCAACTTCAACTCCTCCGCCTGCTTCAGAAGATCTATAACAAATTGTACAATGGCATTAGATACTGGGAAAATTAATAGTAGTATTAAAAGGGAACGTATCAAATAAAGAATACACCCCTCATAACCTCGTTAAGAAGAGGCTTAAAGAAATAAAGTGTCAGCCTGGTGATAGGGCGAGATGAGAAATTAACCCTGCTTTGTAATAACACTGTTTAAAACTGATAAATAATTTCAATTTTGAGTTGTTGCCTTGAGATTAAGGGAAAGTAAATAAAAGGAACGTCTTTTAACACGGTAGGGGATATACAAAAAACATGGTAAGTGGTGATCGATTTTGATTGGACATTCCAATCATCCTCAGACCCAATAGACAAATGACAAGAATCTGAATGTCGTCCCTACTTATATCCCATTGGCTACGGGAAGCACCCGCCAATACATTTTAATTGACAAAGAAATTGAATTTAGGCTTTCAAGCTACCTCATCTAGGCATAAGATCAATTACATTCAACCAAAATATTTTCTTTGGCACCTAAAATGGTGAACATTCTTGGAATGCATATAAATCAAGATGACAGTGAATGATAATTTTTCCCTGTGAACTAAATTCCCTTCACTCGAAAAGGAAGTTTTGGAATCAACAATCAACGTCACTGTAGTTCGTCATGTAACAAGTGTTCCTTACTGTTTAAACACATTTAATAAGTATAGTTGGCCCTATTGAAAAAGTTATTTACATACTCGGAAAATACAGTCAGAAAACATGTTAACGTACAACACGCTTTATGGTAGGCAGACAACTTCAATTTATTGGATTGTACTCAATGTCAATCATATGCTGATTTCAAGAAAGGTGAAAGTTGTTTGAGAATTTGTTTGAATACATCAAAAACTAAAAATATATTAACTTCATCTACAATGTTATAAGGTAGAAAATTAACTTACTTTCTATCTAGTCTGTATTTTGCTTGTTGCAGCCACTTTCCCATCCAGGTCTTCACTACTTCCTCAGTTGCCACTGGGTTTACTCTTTTTACAGCTTCTGTAATCAACCATCCTTTTAAAGAAGTATATAATAACAGAGTCCAAACTCTGATTGAGGGCATTACTACATCTATAATCACCGGTCTGAGCTTGTTTAACTCAGAGAAAATTAACCTTTCATCGGGCGCATCATGGAAGTTACCTCCGGGTCACAACATTTTTCATTATAAAAACCATAGTTTGTGTTTGGCAGGGCTGTTGCCTGCCGTACCTCAAGAACCTCTTTTGCAGGATTGGTTTTGGCAACTCTTACCCCTTTCCCAGTTGTCAAACAACATTGGGGTTTGCGTCACTGAAGGTAGCTTCCGTGTGCGGCCTTTTGTTTAAACGTATCTATTGATATTATAAAATGGATGAAGCAGAACAAATAGCGAGATTGTTGGCTAGTGTTGAAAGGGAGGACAGGGAAGAAGATTTAGTGGAAAGGCCCACTGGCGGGTTTGTTCGGGTACTATTTTTTTAATGAAAAAGATCTTTGACAATATGAGTAGTCCTTCTAACAAATTATTTTTTTCATCTGACAATAGGTACTTTATTTCATACACTATTGCAATTTTTTTAAGAGCTTTGAAAAAATAAGTTGTCCTTATAAAAAAGATTTTTCATAAGGACCATGCAGATGTTTTTATGTCATACACTGATGCAATTGTTGTCTAAGAGCTTTGATTAAATGAGTTGTCCTTGTAACAAATCAATATTTTCATTAGACCATACGTGTTTTTATGTAATACACTATTAAAAATTGTATATGATAGTACTGTATATGTACAAAAAGTAAGTCTTTTTTATCCACAACACTTAAGTAGCCTATGTGCATTGTTTAATTAACACTTACTATTTTATAAAGAACTTAAGTAATCATGTAAAAACTCAAAATTTGTTTCTTACAGTTTTATTGCTATTAGATGAGTTTTACCACAGCCACCTCTAATACAAGGCCGCGACGTTCGAACTGGCAACGCCGCAATCACACCCCCTCTGCGTCCGTCTTCACACGCGCTAGGCCATGAACATCAATGAGAGTATTGCTGCTCTGTATCAATGAATGAAAGTATTTAAATACGTAATAACATATTTTAGTAGATTTTAAGGTATGGTAAAATAGACAAAATTGTAATCTAGGTTGTTTATTTAGTGAAAAATTGCAACATACCACAATATGTCTAAAACTAAAAATATACAAACATAATGTTTTTGGTTGCATTTACCGTATTGTAAGTAAGATGAATGTAGAAATATAGATGAACTTTAAATATTTCCTTTGTTAATTTGATAATCTACACTATTATATAACAATCTCATGGTGTCTGTATATATGTGTATTATTCAACATAGTAAAAACTAATAGACAGACTGTGCTTAAATTTTACAAAATAAAGCTACTATACCAAGAATGGTTATACAGTAGGACTAACTTATTGCCACTTCAATATTTGTAGAGACTTTGGGATTTGTAGAGACTAACATCTAGCCTAACCATTCGTTCAAATAAAATTAATTTTTAATTTTTAATAGGAATATTATGTTTTAGTCTACCTGAGGAAACCATAACACAGATATGATGTAAACCATCCTGATAAACAAAAACTTGTGGCTATTCATGCGAGAGAGCATTCTCAAAATTTTGAACAATGTTATTCATTAAAAGGAATAAGAAAATTGGCAAAAGACGCACCAGACTTGAAATTAAGACAGCTTGAGCAAGCTCATCAATTAATACTTAAATCTAAAACACCTTCCGGTCTAAATTTGAGATAGTATATATATACATATATATATATAATTTTTTTTCTTTCTTTCTATCAAAACATTTTCTTTTTTACTTCTTCATAAATTATATGTATTTTGGATTTTTGCTAAAACCATATGATTCAGAGTGGTAAACACTTCTATTTGTTATTGTGTTTGTTCCTGAAGAAGGCTAATGCCGAAATATAGAAATTTCTATAAAAGTGTGTGATAAGTTTATTTTGAAAATGATTAAGCCGTTTGGCAATATTATGAAGAAACAATGAGGAAACCATAAGTTAGCGACAACAAAATTTGAAGTTTTCATTTTGAAGGCATACTGACTAAATAATTTATTTTCTTTGAATAATTAATAAGAAAAACGTTTGCCATTTTGTAAACGATTTCAGAAGCTAGGCCTCCATATGGCTTTCCACAATATTAATAGAATTTTTTATCACATCAACATTCAGACTGGATTCGGAGACTATGATGCTTTTATTGTTAGATGGTGCAGTAGGTTACATATTTTTTTACTAGTAGGCCTACTTAACAGAAACACCGGCTTATTTCTTTGAAGTGGCATTTATTTAAGTTATTTTAATCACTTAACAACAGCATTTATCAATAAGATAGACAAATAAATAAGGAAAAAGTACGGTATTACTACCTAAAACTTGCTTCTCGCGTCTATATTTACACGAATCATTGTCTTATTCTTACATTTTTTTACAAATTTAATCTAAGCTCATATTCGTGAAAAATGTTTCACACAAAAACGAGAATATTTTTAAGATGTCTAATTTGATCGAAGAATATCAGAAAGCAATTGTTGCTTACGTGGTGGATCAAGTAGAATCTTAGAACACTGTATGTATTATTCATTTTTAATCGAGCTATCGTAATTATTCTTGCATCCAGGCACATCACATCTATCTGGCATGCTGTAGTAAGAAGTTTAACGTCATTACTAATGATTAAAGGTAGTAGAAACGCGATTATGTACGTAGAGTACGCGACTCCTCCATTCACTGTAATGGTAAAACGACCGAACGCCAAGACACTGATGCGACGTTGCCGCTTTTCACTCGCCGCGGCCTTGTATTAGAGGTGGCTGTGGTTTTACTCAACTCATGTAGGCTATAGTTTTCGTACTCCCAGAGGTAACTTCCGTGAGCGCCCTTTGGTTTTTGAAAATCAATCCGCCCGACAGAAGGTTAAATGCAAGCTCAATGTACCATGATTGTCAATTAACACTAAAGAAATTGTGATAACAAACATTTAGCTTCTTACCGTGTGCGATTTTGCAGGCATTTGTTTTAAAAAATGCAATTTTCTTCGTCTTTTCTTTGTTTCTTGCAGTGTTACCGCTGTAAGAGTATTCTACCGCAACCTGGTAGGACATCAACCGTCGTAGGCAGTTGTATGTCATAGTTTTTAGATCCTTCCCCCCCAACCAAGGTTAGAACCTTAAACTGAAAAAAATATATATATTATTTGATTGTTTAATTAAGTGGACATAATATGAAGATAACTGTTAAAAAGTTAATGAAAGTATAAGTGCTGTGTTAATTTGTACAATTCACACATTTAATGACAGTCAATTTTTTTACGAACATAACAAGCGAGCATTACGAGCGTGGCAAATGGTCCCTTATGGCATGCAGGCGGATGGTAAGTGGCACATGGGGGTTACAGCCTAAACTTTTGCACTGGCTGTATGTATCTGTTGTTTGACCCGCCCTTACATATGGTTCGCTTGTGTGGTGGCCAAAGATGGAATCAACTATAGCTGTCAAAGCTTTAGCAGGAGTTCAGAGGCTTGCTCTTATTATGATAACTGGGGCAGTAAGCAGCTGTCCTGGAGCGGAACTTGACTGTCTGCTTGACATGCTACCTATTGACATTTATATTAAGGTGGTAGCAAGTAAAACAGCCCAACGCCTTAGATGCGAAAACTTATGGATAGCCTCAGGAAACAATAAAGGGCACTCCAAAATTGTTCAGGTGGTACATAATGATGAATTGGACTTACCTTCAGATCACATGTCCAAAAAATACTCCTTTGGAAAGCCTTTCAAAGTACTAATGCCAGATAGTAAGGATTGGTCTGGCGGAAAAGGACCCATACCCACAGGTGACTTAGAATGCTATACTGATGGTTCTAAGATCAAAAATGGGGGCACTGGAGCAGGTGTGCATTGGATGAATGGAGGCACTGGTATTTGTCTTCCAATGGGGACCCAACTGTCTTTCAAGCGGAGGTCACTGCCATTCTAGTTTGTGCTCAAGAACATCTTAACAAAGATATCAGAGACAAAACAATCAATATCTATACTGATAGTCAAGCGACCTTAAAAGCATTAAACTCTTACGAATTCAACTCCAGGTTCGTGTGGGATTGTCTTGCTTCTGTGTCTGAGTTGGGTAGGAGAAATAACTTTACGCTTTGCTGGGTGCCAGGACACTCAGGCATTAAAGGAAATGAAGCTGCAGACAGATTGGCAAATACTGCCTCTGCGACATCATTGTTAGGCCCACAACCCTTCTGTGGCATCTCACGAAACAGTGTATGTTCTGCGATTGCGTCATGGGCCAAGGAAAAGCATCGCAAACGCTGGGTCGATGTTCCCCTTCTTAGGGTCAGCAAGCTTACTCTGTTTAGGCCTTCCAAAAAGGTTGCCTGTGACCTCTTGAGACTAGACAGACGAAGAATTAAATTAATTGTTGAACTGATAACTGGTCATGGAAGATTCAGGAAACATCTACAACGGATGGGCTTATATGATGGTGAACCGATCTGTAGGTACTGTGATAGGTCAGAAGAGACAGCTGATCACTTACTCTTTGATTGTAACAAGCTCTCTGACGCTAGATCGATAACTCTTGGAAATATGGCTAGAGGTAGATATCTTCCTGAGGATGAACTAATTGGGAAGCTACAGGCATTCATTGGGCGCCTCAACTTGTAGGTCAACAAGAAAGCAATTAAGTATCTGGGGTGCGCAATAATTCGATTTCGGATGAAGTGCTTTAAGGTCTCGACCTGCCCCTGTCAGATAAGATAAGATAAGACGAACATAACTTAATGTGTTTTCTTTATGCACAATTTTTAAACAAGACAACCCCAAAGTCTGTTAGTGACTAATACAGATGGCGGAAAACCTGAACAGTTGTCTTTATCTTTTTTACTGTACCGGGCTCCTCCCTCTGTTCTCATTGGTAGACTGTTTCAAGGCTGATTTTGTAAAGTTTAGCCTTAAAGTTTAAAGGGCAGGCATATTAGCATTCCCAAAAATATAAGATTTAGTGTCTTTTTATCATAACCCCTCCGCAGAGCACTGTATGGATATAACCTTTAACTATTTAGACAACAGTATCAATTAGTCAATCATAACTCACTTTTCAGGAAAATGTAAACATTTTTTAGCGAATTTTCCATGAAGAGAATAGGCTATAAGCGTAGATCTCATGGTAAGACCTGGACCCAGGACCGATTTACTTTTTTGTTTTGAGGTCCCCAGAGGCCGAAAACACCATATGTTTAGATTCATACATAGGCCTATATTAATAATTAAAAATACTCCCGCCGCATCAAACCTGCAGACTAAGCAAATTTCCATTTACCCAACTTGATTTCTAATCAAATATTCCCTAAAAATTTTCAGATTTATTTCCTATTTAAATAACATTAATTTTAGTGAGTATCTTAGGTTTGCTGCAACGCGGAAGATATTAAGGTGTGTTTTTTAATTAAAATGTCGATAGCTAAGTATGAAATACAATACGTTGGGCATACAACAACGCTTCAATATACAAAATTATTTCATTTTTAAGCAGCTACAAAATTGTTTTGGAGAAAAATTATGAAATTTTGTGCTTTTAGGGTCAAAAATTACTCCCCATATACCCCTGTTCCCATAGTCCGATTATGCTGGTTCGCAAACTTGTTTGAATAAACAAATGTTTACACGTTTAAACCAAATTTAATCAAAATCGCATCATTTTTGCTTGAGTTATCGCGCCAACGGACACAAATATGTTAATTATATATTAATATATGACAAACACTGTGACACGAGAATTTTATATATTAGACATGATTTGAACAGATGGCGTTTTTGGCCTCTGGGGACCACAAAACAAAAAAGTAAATCAGTCCAGGGTCTAAGGTCTTACCATGAGACATACGGTAATAGTTTCTTCTCCATGGGAAATTCTCTAAAAGGCACTTGGAGCTATTTTTACTTTATTTGTAAATAAATGGATTTTTTTTAAGACAAAATGAAGTCTAATTTAAACATAGCTTTAAGCTTAGGTTTCGACTAGTTAAGGTTTGTAATTAAACATCGAGCATGTGACCTAGACAGTTCTATTTCTGCACAGAAACGTCAAAGTCAGACAGTGAAAATCCTGACCAGGAAGTGTGTCAGACCTTGTTACGATCCCTTCAATATGTTTTATGGTCAGCCTATTATTTCAGATTTTAAGGGTTTGTACAATATTGATATAAAAACATCCTGAAAAAGACCCAAAGGCTACAGCTTTGAGTTTACTTTGTGATACCTAGGGTCAACCGGGGCTAATATGAACAAAAAAAGTAAACTTTTGACATTAACTCAAAAATGGTAAATGACAGAAGAAAAGAAAAAATAGTAGTGTATACAGCTCTTTTAGCTGAATCTATTTATTTACTTACAAAAACCATAAATGTAACCATTATTAAAAAAAAAAAAATTAAAAACCACTGTTCACATTAGCCCCGCTAAAAGGGGCTAATGTGAACACTCTTAATAACTCTGTTATTTACAACACTAGGCATGGGGGCTGTTGTGAACAAGCCTAGGGTCTAGTCTACCAGTTGCAATAATATTTTATCTTAAATACAGTAGTTTTTGAGATATGAAGGTATCTTTGGAGAGCCGCGGGTCGCCCTACGGTAACCCTTTTTTTTTAAACCATTTATAAATATTATACAGGGCTAATAATAAGATATAAACAAGAAAAAAATTATCTGTCAACATACCTGAGTATTTATTAAAAATTTCTTCCACATACAAATTGTTTAAAGCACTTAAAAAAACAATAGCCTACAATGCAAATTGTTCGTTTAGGCAAATGACAGTTTATTGCACTTTTAGGCCTATTAGGTAAATATAAAAATGTGGGCTAGGCCTATTCAACACCTTAACTGTTGTCTTTGTAAAATTAAAACTGTTTTATCACTGTAAGGCCTTCAAAGAAGTTTATTGAGGAACTTACGCCTCAAAAACTTCGACAATTTTGTCGAAGACATACTTATGTCTATCACTGGTTCCACATACATTAGGGGCTGGAAGTTTCCCCAAAATGTCAGTGGTAGAAACAATAAATATATCATCTTCTTTTTTCAGGAATGATTTTTTTCCTCATCACAGGATTTAAATCCCATCACTTCGATCTCCCCGTCAGCCAGTGTTTTTAACACTGTAGCGACATAGCGGAAGGTGGTACTGTTCACAATAGCCCCCATTCACTGTTCACATTAGCCCCCCAACTTTGAAAGCTTATAACTTTGGCTGTTATTAATATATTTTAACTTTGGGAAAAGAAAAATAATCCCCAATTCTTATTTAACAAAATTCAGGCTTAAGATTATTCCTACAACCAATGTAAAAATTGTTATAACAAAAGTTTTCACTTTGCGCGGAAAAGTTTTTTGGGCGGAAAAAAAGTGTTTTAACAAAGTATTTTTTTAAAGTACCTAAAAGTCAAATTTGAAGTTTTCTCATTATGGACACAAAAAATACAATAAATTTCCTTTCTAATTATATTTTTTTCATGATTAAAAATCCCAGATAAATGACTTTTAAAAGTCATTGTTCATATTAGCCCCAATATTTTGGTGTGTTCATATTAGCCCCGGTTGACCCTATTCATTATTTTTTCAACGTTCCTGCACCAGGAAATTAATGACCACATCACTTATTAATTCAAAATTATGTACTTTGCTGTGGTGGGAAAACTACTGACGGCTATGAATCTCAGAGCATAGATCAGTGTTCAAAATACTGAATATGATAAGTTACTAGTTAAGAATGTTTTTGTGCAAAGAAAAATACACAAACTTACCAACTGCCTATTAAATTGAGGGATTTCTAATATCTTCTCTAACTCTTCCACCTCCTTCAAATTCTGAACTGGTACCGTATATCCTTCCTATTATTTCATATTTTCGATTTTCCTGTTCTTAATTGTACATGGCACAGTCATCCATTTTTCTGCTTTTTTGCACAGCGTCTGTGAGGACAACCACTGTTTCCTGGAGCTGTCCGACGATGACAAAAAGTCTATTTATAATCTGAAAATATAAAATTAATTTAAAATCAATCACAAATCAACATTAAACATAAAATACAATGTAATGCAACAATTGTATTTGCAATTTGAATGGTTTTCAACTTTAGAGCTCATCTAGAAAGAAATATAATACGGCAACAGCAGTAAATAGACCTATGGGAAATACAGTTGTTACTAAAAATAATGAAATGTGCTTATACAGAAAAATTTTATAGGCCTATGTTAAACGTGGGGTAAATGTATGCCCGGAACAAATAAACTCCCAGCTAAGTACAAATTTGTATATTAACTAAAAAGTTTAAACACAGCCAAATGTATTTCAAACTATGCTCTTTTAAATAATCAATAATTAATTATCTTGTTACTATTTCTATGAGTTTAAACGTTTTTAAAATCTCTTCCGTTTATACCCAAAAACTGTTCAGAGAAAAAAAATTAAATCTGAAATATATTTATACATGTGCACGTATATTTATATGTATAGGCCTACCCATAGATAAAACATTACAACTGCCAAAGAATGAGCACATTAAATTTGACACATGACAAAAAATCAACCAACTAGTTTATGCAATTATAGTTTTAGGGTGATAAACCGGTGACGACCTATTGCTGAACAGTGTGATGCAGAAAAGACATTGGTCTATTTTGCCGCACACTGTATTTAAAATAGACCATCAAAGCACTAATCAGGATTACCCCTACTTTAAATGTAATAAAATTAAACTCACTCTCATTATTGCATCCACTTTTTGTTGGCAACAGCTGTCGATGAGGAGTGTGCTGCTGCATAGGTGGCTTAGAAGGAAGTTCTGGTTCTGAAAAATGGGCTGATGTAGAGGGATAGTTTGGGGTCAAAAAGGAAGGTTCATTTGCAGGTGTAGGGAAATTAAGAAATAGGCCTAGGGGTCTGGCAAGTGTAGTGAGGGGATTGTACCTAGAAGAAGAATAGGTAATTATTTTGTAAAGAAAATAACAAATTGTTCCCATGGTTAGTGATGTAAAATGCCCGGGCTTGTATACGGGTTTATAGAAAATAATTTACAGTGCAGCTTTTTTTTTTGGAAAACAAATTCCTTCTATTATAATTTTAACTTTTGTTAAATAAAAATCCTCTATTTATTATCTTGGAGGCCTAATGGGAAAAATATTACGAGTTTAGAAAACGATTTTAGGCGATTTCAAATGGCCTGCGCGGGGTCATTAGTTCTCCGAGCAGCCACATACTGCGCTAGCGTTGCAACCCCTATAAATAGGCCGAGAAGCGGAATAGCTTTCGGACCCGCGTATATTGCGAGTCAATAGGTCGAGGGCGGAATAGCCTAATAGAATTATCAATACCCATTCGGTTGTTTGTGCCAACAGATATGGAAGTGTACCCGCAAACAGTAAAATGCTGGTTTGGTATGCTTTTGGTGGGCTAGGTTTAAAAAAACTGATGCACTGTTCTGTAGTTTAGCAGAAGGCTAGGCCTAGTTAGTGCCATGCTTTTGTATATAAATTACTTATTAGTCATAAATAACTTCGTATGCAGAGTAATCTAACTTAAGCATTTACCAGGTACTATTTAACATACGGTAAACAAAATAAAGTTATACCGGTACAGTACTTAAATCATTTAAGTTCCCAAGAACCATAACCTCCAAAAAAAGAACCTAACGGTAAACAAAATAAAGTTATACCGGTACAGTACTTAAATCATTTAAGTTCCCAAGAACCATAACCTCCAAAAAAAGAACCTAAGTCTTACCGGTAGGCCTATTAAAGTCAGTTCATAATTTTGATACAGGAACTTTGAATGTTGTGTGGATTTTGCAACTTATGGTAAAGAACTTAAAATAAAAACACAACAACGTCAAAGATTATAACATTTTAGTGAGGCGCCGAGTCCGACAAAAGTTTAATTTATAAACAAAATTTTCTGAAGTTCCTTGATGCAAGGCAATTTATCATTTGCTTTGCTTAGCTTACCTACTATCATGAAACAAAGTAAACAAACAAACTTTAAAACTAACCTATGAGTACTTTGATTCTTCTAAAAAAAATTAACTAAACCATTGACTATGAATCCTTAAAAGACATTGCATCTAGTACCATTGAAGTCAATGACTAAACTAACTTACTGGTAACGTAACGAATTAAACTAAAATAAAAAAGAAGAGAACTAAACCATGACTAAACTTAGAAAAGTTAAAGTAGGTTGACTAGAGCTTAGTCTAGCCCTGAGAGCTTAGTAGTACACGCGTAGTCGATCCACGATCCAACCAAAATGAAACGGGTACAACCATTCAACGAGCCATTTGATTTGAATTTGAATAATCATAAGCCAATCATTGGTCTCAGGTAAGAGACACAACTCTCGGCTTCTAAAAGAATCGAAAATGTTTTTTTTCTATCCATTAATTGAAGAGGATTTGAGTTGAGGCTAGTCTTGTAAGAGAAACTAACAATTCACTGCGAGTGTCAACCGATGAAAATGTATTATTGTCAAATACCACAGCTTTAGATTGAAAATAAGACATTTTAAAATTATTTTAGCTTACTATATATTACCTAAAACCAATTTTGTTTCTATTTTTGATATAGTTTAAACATTTAAAATCGATCAGTAATATACAAACTATACTGGATTAAGTGTTATCGTTTGAAGAGACATCTAGCGGAAACTAGATGAACTGTCGCGAGCCTCGACGGTAGCAGCATCCAGCGGTGATTGGTTAAACTGGCTAGAGACCCGCTACGAACAAAAACACAAAATTAAATCTAACTTTTTTAGAAATTTGTTTTTATTAAAATATTTATATCTTGGGTTGTTAATACGGCCCAAGGTCTCTCTGGTCTTAAATTACTCAGTAAATGTTTGGCTTTAACTTTATTAATGACTAAATAAAATCCAACAAATTTAAAATGAGTCATAGACCATAATTTAACATGAAATTATTTTTATTTCGAAATTTATCTTCAGTTAAAGACATAATATATCCCCAATTAACTCCCAAAACTCGTTATAGTCTAAAATAATTCACCAAAGTAGGTACAGTATTGACTTTTATTTTAGCTATGGACTACATATTGGGAGTTATTTAGAATAGGGGATATCTTTATTTAAGTAAAGAAAATTGTCAAAGTAATAATAAATTAATGTTCAATTTAATGATTACAACTTTAACTTTAAAGGAACTTAAACTATTTCCTTTAAAAGTAAAAAAAACAATCACTTAACAGCCTCTTGTCTGCATTAAAGTGGTTTTTGATCAGTATTTTAAAATATCCTTCCTCACTTCTCTTTTTGAAAACACTGTGGGTACACAATCGAGGTTCACTAAAGGTCCAGAATTTCCTCGTTTTCTATCTCTTCGATGAATAGGATCTTCAACACTTGGCTCTTAACGCTAATAGTGAGAGCAAAATAAATTTTAACACAGTCAGCAACCAACTGTTGAACTGAATAGACGCGTTCTTGGACAACGGGCCTCCAAGCGATCGACGCCCAGCGATCATCGCTCGGCGATCACGTCTTGGACAACGGGCCTCCAAGCGATCGACGCCCAGCGATCATCGCTCGGCGATCACGTCTTGGACAACGCACCTTCATGGTGGAAGTAGCTGCTCCTAGCTCCTATGTCTGTCGTCAAACGTCATAATGTGGCCTTGACGACGGAAGGCCATAATTTAATTCACATTACAGTGAGAGTGAATGCAAATAAATAAGTAGGCCTACAACATAATATCTGAACCTCAACCTGGCATAAAATTTGTCAATGAAAATGTTTATTATCCAATTACAGTAAGGCTGATAACCAGCATGGTGTAAATATAAAAACTTAAATTACGGAGGAATTTTAAAATTAATATTCCAGTAACATGCGCAATTAACGCCAGATAAATTACCGCCCCCCCTTACTTTTAAAAGCGTTTAGATGACCTTTGCATATTTCCTCCATAATAATGCACTATGCACCATGAAACTGGTCAAAATGAACAATAAATTAATGAGTTGCAATAAATTAAATAACACAGTTAAATCAAATATTTTCCTCTTCTTTTGGGCTAGTGCTAGTAGTTTTTGTTGTCTCTGTCTTCTCTCTTCTGTCTGTCGGTGTTGGTTGGTTTGGTTTTTTTTTACAATCTGTTTTACACTAAACAATAAGTAAATACGATGAAATTTTTATAAATAAAATAAAAATTGGAAAACATGAGTTAGCAGCTAAACTTGTTTGTTTACTTTTTGGTTGGTTGGTTGGCGCTCGACCGCTCGCTTCGCTATGGAAGCCAATCGATTTACGATATTCGATAGTAGTTGTTTTCATACTACGACGATCGATACTTAACCGTATGCCTACCATATCGTTGTGAACCCAGCGCTATCCTTGTGGATTAAAAGTGTTATCGGTTAAAGATGCATCTAGCGGAGACTAGGTGAACTGTCGCGAGACTCGACGGTATAGCGACATCTAGCGGTGATTGACCGAACTAGTCTCAAAACTCTTCGCCGTAAAAATAGTTTACATAGACTATTTGATTTCGAACTGCACCACTTATCTCGACATAGTCTGATTTTATTAACTCAGGTTGTGAACACATATGCCCCTGGGAAGATATAAAAGTGGCGTCGATGCACCTATGAATCATGAAAATATTGTATGTAGACCTTTTTGGTTGTATGATTTTAAGATACGCTTACCCATAAGTGTAATAACTTTTTTTAATATCAATATTGGATTTGGATGTCAAATTGTTCAATAGGGATTTTATGTCTTAACTAGCTGAACCCGGCAGACGTTGTCTTGCCTTTGACTATTTCTAATTTAAGTACCGTAACGTTTAATTGTCTTATTGTATATGAAGTGCTTATAACTAAATTAAAATACGTACGACAACTAATGAAACACATATAGTACAAAGGATAACCGATTCTTTATTATTGCTCTTATATTAATGCTAGTGGGTAGCCAATATTTTTCGTCTTTCTTTTCGGCTCAATCACGTCCTGGTTGAAGTTCGTTCGCTACGCTCACTCACCTTTAGGTTGGAGCTCGTTCGCTGCGCTCACTTGCCTTCAGGTTAGCTCGTTCGCTACGCTCACTTGCCTTCAGGTTAGCTCGTTCACTACGCTAACTCGCCTCCAGGTTGAAGTTCGTTCGCTATGCTCACTCACCTTTTGGTTGCAAATTAGCTGTTGTCATAAATGTAAAAGAATTAATAGTGCTGCACCCTGTTGGTAATCCTTGTAACATGCTATTGAACATCATAGAACAGAACCAACTTGTTTAGTTGAAACAGCTGTTAAGATTCATTAATTCCATTTCTCATAAGGTTAATATGGGAAACTCCAGAGCCACTGGGGCGGAGCCGATTGGGCGGATCACGAAATTGATTTATTTATATGGTGTATAAACCTATTACATGAAATTCTACACGTATGTACCAAGTTTCGTGGCAATCGGTTCAATATATATATACAAACATCCTATTAGCGAATTTCCCATATAGGGAATTAGCTATTACCGTAGTACTCATGGTAAGACCTGGACCCGGGACCGATTTTTTTTCGTTTTGAGGTCCCTAGAGGCCAAAAACACCATCCGTTCAAATTCATATATATATGTGTGTCCGTTAGCATGATAACTCGAGCAAAAATGATCCGATTTTGATGAAATTTGGTACAAACGTGTAAACCTACGTTTATTCGAACGAGTTCGCGAACCAGCATGATCGGACCATGGGAACAGGGGTTTATGGGGGCTTTTATGGGGTAAAAATGGGGTTTTCCTATTTTTGACCCAAAAAACATAAAATTTTGAAATTTCTTTCCAAACTATTTTGTAGAGCTTAAAAAAACAAATAATTTAGTATATTGAAGCGTTATAATGCGCCTAATGGTTAAGGAGAAAATTCCAAAAAATTGTTAATTTAAAATCCCCATGTTATTCTTATGGAGAATAAGTAAACCGTTGTAGTGTGCTTGTTTATTAACATATTTTGCCCAAATTTGGAAAATGTTTTTATTTCTTACTAACTATTAACATTTTACATAAAAAACACTTTTACCCTCCCTGTTGCAGCAAACCTAAGTATGTGTTAAACTGATTCTATTTAAATAGGGAATAAAAATGTGATATTTTTAAGGAGACATTTTAGTCTAAATCCAATCAGGCAAATGGAAATTCGCTTAGTCTGCAGGTTTGCTGCGGCGGGGGTATTTTATACTTATAGATAACTTTGTTGTGAAGCATTTTAATTTACTTCGTACAAAAAGTTATTGCATGGTAAATAAAATAAAGCTATTATGTTATGATGGTGTACATGTGTAGATGTGTCTGAGTAGTTTCAGTGTTCGTTGAATATTATTTATGCATTCTAATATTAGCTAAAAATATTACTACTGTCCATGAAAATAAAATGAAGAAAATTTATTATTCAGAAACATTAAATTATATTTAGGCCTACGGTTGTTATATATTTTTACAAGTTACCCAACGCACAAACTATTGTTCTATCCTCTCCTATCACAATTACACTCAGTAGCCTCACAGCATCAAACAAAAATCTGCCGATTGAAAGCGACCGAACTGGAGTTACTAACTTGACTATTATCAGTGAGTTTCCGATTTCTTTTCTTCCCAAGATTGAACCGACGCAATGAAGTCGATTGAAATATTTATCATCTTTTCTAGACACAAAAATCTTTCAAGGAGGGGATTTAAACTTGCCTTCTGTTATGCCTCTTCTATGTGTAAATCCACCAACAGACATCATTGGACGCATCAATCATTGTTCTAAGCACATTGCACATATCAGTCCATATTTCAGACCAAAAGCTTTTTCCTCTCACAGTACAGTAAAGAACCCTTTCTTTGTAACCGCCGAACTCAAATGACAAGTCATAAATGGGAGAAGAGCCAACAGCTCACTAAGCCACTGAGCCTTGCGCCTAGAACCTGACAAGGTATGATTGTCGGAACAATATTTTTATCCATTAGCTCAAATAATTATTTTTATTTATTTACAAAGAGATAAACTATAATCACACAGCATCGCCGAGGCTTGGCCTCCCGTCTAGTTGGGTCGTTCACTTCCCATGGTTATATCGGAATTGTATGTGAAAGTGTTCAGAAAGACACCCTCTATGACCTTTAGACGAAGTGTTTTTCAATTAACCTACGAAAAACTACGGCAGGAAA